AAGTGAACTGGGGTGAGGGGTGGGGCAGGGATGAAAATGCAACAATGTATGAATGGAAATCCAAAGTCTCTGTAAACTTTCATTAAAATAAAAAAAAAATGTATGTTCTAAACAAACAAAAGGGACACGTGTCGTTAAATCACAAGGGAGACTGTCCATCTGTCTCCTAAAGACCAGCTGGTAGATTCAAACCACAGACCTTTGGGTGGGCAGCACAACTCCTTACCAGCAGGGCATTAAAAGCTCCCAAAAGGTCATCTAATTCAACAATTTAATGACCAGTGTCCAGAAGACTTTAGTACTCCATTACAGAGAATAGAGACAGTCACTAGAAACATCCCTTGGTGGGGGGGTGGGGTGGGGGGGTGTGTTTCTAATGGAGCTGGACTTGCTGGATCAGGTCAGCCAGCCAATTACTCCTCTGGCTGACCGTCCTGTGCTTTCGTATCTGGCAGGCACCCCTTGTTAGCCTAGCAGGGACAGGATCACTCTCTGGGGTCTTTCTGTTGCCATGACTGGTATGTGTCACTTACAAAGGCCAGTGTGGGCTGTTCTGCACAGTGAGGATCTGTCTTACGTGGATTTGAAATGTTTATTGTTGGAACTTAGCTCAGTGTTATATATAAATACAAAGCATTTTTTGAAACAAGGCTTCACCATATGCTACATCTTCTAGGCAAACCTGTTGCAGAAGACCTTTCTAAAGTGCTAAAAAAGCAAATATGTCACCTCAAGCCTGATCCAAGCCATGGTATTTTCAATTAGCACATATGCATGTGGAAGTTGGACAATGAATAAAGGAGAATGAAGAAAACGTGATGTCTTTGAATTATGGTATTGGCAAAGAACACTGAACATATCACGGATCACTAGGAAAACAAAGAAAGCTGTCTTGGGGAAGTTCAGCCCGAATGCTTCTTAGAAGCAGCATGGGAAGCCCTCGCCTCATGGACCTTAGGCATGTGATCAGGAAGCACCAGTCTCTGGAGAAGAGCATCATGCTTGCTAAATCAGAGGAGGCAAAAAAGAGGAAGATTCTCAATATGAGACTGACGCAGTGGCCACACAACGCACTCAAGCACAGGAAGGTGAGGATGGTGACAGGCCAGGCCGCGGTTCATTCTCCTGGGCCAGAGGGTCATTATGAGTTGAAATAACATGATGGCTGCTAACAAGGGATTTTCTGGAAGGGAACTTTCAAGTAAATCATAGGAATATTTTATTTTACTTTTCTCAAACTATGATTTCTAAAATCCCTGTTGTTGAGAGCAATGTGACCCACATCAGTCTATATTCAAGGTGATTCTACATGCTGGTACATTATCTACATGACTACATTATCATGTGTTCAAGTGTAGTGATTCTCCAATCTTCTCTTACAAGTGGAGTAAACATTATGAACAAATTCAAACCTTGAGTTGATATAATCAAGGATGCTTTAGGCAGAATATTA